TCAGGTTCGACGCAGTACTTCGGATCCTGCGACTCGGGCGGCTCTTCTGAAGGAGATCCGCGATCAGCGTACGGCCGATCGTACGGAGCACCAGTTGTCCATTTTACGGAGGGCTAGGGAGGGGGATCGTCAGGCCATTTCCTATTTACGGAAAAGTGCGGCCCACTCTTCATTTGAAATCAGCTATATTGAAAACCGCGGGGGCCAGGAACGGGCGGCTCGGGAATTGCAAACCTTCTATGAGACGAAGTACTCCTCGCTACTCCCGGCACCCACTCAGGAGTCCCTGGACATGCTGATCTCCACGCACACCTCAGTGCAGCCTAGGCCCTTCACGGCCGAGGAGCTTGACCTGGCTGTCGCTAGATGTAAAACCAGGACCAGCTCTGGGCTGGACGGCGTCTGTTACGAGGCCATCAGGACATACCATAAGTCAGATCGGGGACATAAGCTTCTTGCCTTCATGAACCGCATGCTTTTTAAGCAGATTCAGCTTCCGGACGAGTGGCATGAGGCCAAGGTAGTGTTGCTCCCTAAAGTCACCAAACCTGAAGCTCCCTCTGATCTCCGACCCATTTGCCTCTCCCCATGCTTGTCCAAGATTTTTGGGCGGCTGATCATGACGAGAGTATCCCTGAAGTGCCCTGCTTACTGTAGTGGGCAGATGGGATGCCGACCACGCACGCAGACCGTGGATGGAATTCTAGCAGCGCAGACCATTATCGGGGTGTTGCGGCGCAAACATCAGGTAGAGGCCCATGTCGCAAAGCTGGACATCCGGGCTGCCTTCGACAGCTTAGCCCACTCTGCAGTTGTGTCGTATCTACTTCATTGTGACCCCTGCCCCGAAGCTGCTCTGCTGTGGCGCATGTGCTCTAACAACCGACTCCGCATGTCCTTGGGTACACATGCATGGGAAGTGCAGGTTCGGCAGGGGATCATGCAGGGCAGCAGTTATTCTGCTGACTTGTTCTCCAGGACGATTGACTTCCACTTGCGAGGGCTGCAGCCGAGATGGAATGTGATGTTCCCACGATGGCAGGACTGCATAGGTCTCTCCCACTTTCTGTTGTATGCTGATGACGTGATGCTCTTCGCCATGAATCCAGCCGAGCTCCAGACCAAACTTCGAGACCTCATGGACACGTTGTCGGCCATAGGGCTCTTCGTCAACCCCCGAAAGTGTTCCGTGTTGAATGTGTCAGGGGCCACGCCCGGGATTTGGCCTCGAGGGTCGTGCTTCCCCTTGCAGGGACAGGATAGGGTAGTTTTCTTGGGAGTCCCACTTTCGCATGTGAATTCACCGGACTTGGTCCTCGCGCACCCATTGCGCAAGATGACGAATTCGTACTTTGCTATGAAAAAGCTTTTGGACCGGCCTAGCACGCCTCACGGGATCAAGGCCCAGCTCTTTGACTCGTACATCAGCTCGAAGTGGTTGCGGTGCAGCTCTGTGGTGTGGCCTACAGTGCGGTCGCTTAGGACAATTGAGGGGCTCCGCAATTCTTTACTGCTGGGGGTTTTTCGGTTTTCTAGAGACCCCTTTAGTACGTGGCTCGAGAACGTGCAAGGGTGTAGGCGAGCACTTAACCTGTATTGTCAGAGGTTCCAGGGGCCCCAGTGGAAGGCCTCCTGGCTCACTAGAGTGTGGACATACTTCGGACATCTAGCCAGAAGCAAGGAGGATACCCCGCTGCGTAATCTACTGCGCACCATGAGTGGGCACCGGCTATCCATTGGGGGGCTGCGCCCCTCATGGCTCACCGAGACCTCGTTCCACAAACTCAGGCTCCGGTACGACCAGCTCCGAGGCCCCACAGATATGCAACATTGGGAATGGCAGGCGATGGATCGCGCAGCATGGCAGAGCCTCCTGCCCGCCTGGCTTGCATCGTGGGGGGCCGTGAGCCCCCTCCCAGACACCACCGAATATCTACAGGGCAGACAGTTAGTAGTGCTGGACAAAGGCATCCTGGCCCTTCGCCCCCGGCGGGAGGCCATTGAAGGGGCCTATAGACGTGGATTGATCCACCTCACCCGCTGGCGGGCCGACAGCAGAGTGGGTTTGACGCTGTGGGTCACATGTAGTCTTGCGAACAGGGTGGCTTGTGTATACTTTTTCCAGGCGAAACAGCGCACCCAGGAGAGCTCGGTCATGCATGTCAAATTGGGCGACGAGGACTGCGGGGTCTACCAGGCGCTCCTCTCGGTCTGTGAAATTCTTAAGCTTCATTCGGTGGTTTCCCCCATGCAGGCAGTGACAGTTGTACTCCCACATGTTCTCTTGCCCAAATACGTGCTGGAAGGTTGCAGGGACTCTTCAGACCCGTTGGCTGCACGATTTACGCGGCTGTGTCATGAAGTGGACCTGTTGGACTGTCTAACTCTTGTGCCTAGAAAGCTGCCCGCGAGGTGGTCGGTCCAGTTGGGGTGCCCCGCTTCAGAGATGCCCCGGGGATGGGACTACATGTACCGTACTGCGGACTTTCATGAGGCTAGGTACTTTACGGAGCTCAGGGCAGCAGCAATCACAGCACTGCGTCCTCAGATTTTGCGCTGATCCTGGCAAGGCTTTTGGCCCGAGTCGTCTGTCCCCCGAAGCCTGGTAGTAGCCCTGCACCCCCCTACTTTCCAGGGTGGTTTCAATCTATTGGTTATGGTTGCGCCTCCGTCCTTGCTAAAGGGGGGGGGGGCAGGGCGGCCCGGAAATGGCTCCCAAACGCCCTCGCCTGGACGCCGAGATCCAAGCATTCACGCTGCTCGAGTGCGGTGGCTTCCTTTCCAAGGAGTCGGTGCTCAGGGTCCTACGACTCATACCAAAGGCGGAATGGAGCCAGCAACGAGGTGGTGTAACCCTGTGTTTCGGGGCATACCAAAGGGTGTCCACCGGTCTCCGATCTACGGCCAGGCGCTACCCCTTAACCACGCGCCTTTTGACTAGGCTTGTGCAGCAGTGGACACCTGGGGCCTACTTCACCTCGATCTCTGTGCTGGACAATGTTCTGACCTTGCCGCACGTCGACAACCGCAACTCTGAAGTTCCAGGGGTCGTTATGTCCTTGACACAGTCTTTTAGCGGCGGAGAACTTTGGCTTGCCCATGAAGGAGGCAATGTCAGTCGAGTACATCAGGGTATCCAGCGACGAGGCATTCTTGTGGACATCACGCACCCTTTCCAGTTTTCGGCGAAGACCATGCCCACGGGACTACCCCGTGGCAGGGGGACCGGGTTATCCTCTCGGCGTTCAGCACGCCACGGATTTCCACACACATGCCGGAGGATCGCCTGTTCCAGCTGGTGTCCTTGGGCTTCCGTCCTCCCACGGCGGAAGTTGAGGACCGTTTCAGACACGAGACGTGGGGGGCCACAGTGACCCGGCAGATGCGCCTGCACTCGTCACACATGTGGCCGGCGGGGGCACTTCTGCAGCATCGGAGCGAGCCGCCTACCATTGACTTGGAAGACTCCTGCCCTCCCACGCTTGAGATCAGCTCGGATACTGAGTCAGACGTAATTAGCATCTGCATGGGAGCTGCGAGCCCGGAGCCTGACTACTGGGATTGTGTGTTGTCTGATCCTGAATCTTGCCTTTTCGATGGTTGCTCCGAGTAGTAGGCTCCTTTTTCGGCAGGTGAGTTTGGGATGTGGGTAAGCCATTCCGCGGCTCGAGTTGCCACACGCCTTTTGCTGCAACGACCTTCATCATGTTTTCCATTGCTCCATGGCTGGCCTCTCTGGCCTTCCTGGCGACCATCTTTCTGCTTGCAAGGCTTTTTCGTAGAGACATGAATTCATTGCAGACACATGTATGCACTATCACCCGACTGGCGGAGGGACAGGAGCAGCTCCTGTTGGCAGTCCAGGAAATGCGCGGCGAGCTCTTGCAACAGCGCAAGCGGCTCAGTGATGCCCTGGACACGATGTTCCATGGTCTGGAAGCCAGACGACGGTTGGGAGAGCTGTCCAACACCTTTGCCTTGGTGCAGGAGATGCATGCACGTAGACCCGATGTGGCCGAAGTCCAACACATGAACTACTTGCGATCCCGCTTGAACGAGGTTCTGGACCAGCTGCAAGAGATCAAGGCGACCCTTGACAACCGCTCGGGGGGTGATCACAACTCGCTCCCCATTGTACGATTGTCGGTTCCCGATGGGGCCGAACTGCAGCTGTTGTGACGGGCCCCTGCATGATGTCCAGCAGAATTTGTGAATTCGGAATTCGGGTTTTTGCGTGTGAGGTTGCGAATTCGGGAATTTGTTTTGATTGAAGTTTGTAAGTTAAGCATGACGTAGTACAGACGGAAGCTTCACATTAATGCTGGGATGGTCGCTGGCTCTTGAAAAGCAAGGACCGCTGAGACGGGTGACGGTCTGTTCCCATGCCACTGCCAGGATCCGTACGAGAGTCGTGCTAGGGGCTGTTTTCGCTTCGATCGTCTAGCCTAGATCAGGCCTGGAGTCCCCCCTGCTCCCTCTCGAAGTTCAGTACCGACCATAGCACCATTGGAACATCGCATGCACCCTGTAGTCTTCCTAAACCTCACCTTGCCCGAAGCCCTCTCTCCGGCCCAGCATGGGGCCCTTTGCGATTCCAAACCGATGACCAGCCTATGCCTCTGCCTTTCCTCTTCCAGGCGCGTTGGTCTCCGCGGGGTCCATAGGAGGGTCTTGGGCGGTTTGAACTGGGTTCTTTGTTTGGGTGCTTTCGGATTCGTCTGCATTGGAGCTTCTCGAATTTGGGTTATTCTTGGGTGGCTTCGGTCCTCGGGGGTCGAACTTGGGACTCGGGGCTCGGGTTTTTGCTGTGTCGCTTGACGGGACTGCCTTCCTTTGCTGAACTTAAAGTCATACTGGGTAAATGCGACGCTGGGACCACCTTTTATACGACTGTAACGACGCAGCTAGGCATGCTACTATGAAGAGGGGCGTGTAAGTAGCGACACTCCGATAGCTCTTGGCCCCAGCACTCTAGCCTACGCCCTGACCCCGCGGAAGCCATGTCGGTGGCCCTTTACGCCTCCGATGGACATGCTGGGCAGTGTGGCATGCAGGAAGAAGACTACTCAGGAGGCGTTCTCCTGGCTCTCACCCTAGGGATCGTGGCGGTCATTGTCGGCACGCAGATCTGGTGTAGCCGTTCCATATGGGGGCGCCTTGATGTTTTGACGTTTCAGCTTGAGCAATTGACGACGGCTGTCCGGCAAATCCAGGCGCTGGTTCATGTGGAAAACGACTTCACTCGCAGCCGATCCGGAGAGCATGCGCGGGATGCCCAAGCCCGCATCCAGGCAGTGATGAACAAGCTCATGCGAACAGCGGAGGAGGTGGCCTCGATCCATGCCATGCACGCGAACATGGGGAACACCCTACGTTCCCACCAACTGGAACTGCAGAAACTTTTGCTTCAGTCCAAACGAGATGTTGAAGCTACCCTACAGCAGGTCCGGACCAAGCTTGGGGAGAAGGTGGGAGGAGTCACCACGGACGTACAGGCCATCCTGGACAAGGCCATTGAGTCGGCTGCAAGTAAGTCCGATAGCGTGGTGGAGTCCATGAAGGAGCAGATCAAGTCGGAGTACGCGTCGGTGATCACTTTCCTGAGCCCCCTCAAGCGATCACAGGAACAGTTCACGACAGCTATGGGCAGCCGTTTCAATGATGTGTTGAAAGAAGTGGCCAATGCTGCCTACAATTTGACGAAGCAGGGCAAAGATACCGCTGCCCAAGCCCGCTGGATTCAGCATACTGTGGACAACGTGCAGACTCACACGGATCATTTGCCAGATAAAATGAATTTTATCCGGAGTCTCCTCGAAAACATGAGGGACTCCGTCGAGCAGATCCAGAAAGACATTGCTGCCTTGGACGCCGAACGTGCTGAGGCAGGGTCTCCTGTTGATGCACCGGGGGAGCCTGTGCCGGACCGTGACCAGTGGTCCAGGGCAAGCCCGAGCCCACCACCACCGGTGGCTCCGCCCACTATGTTGAACCTGGACGAGTCACTCCCGGTCCAGATGACGGGCACGCTCAACCGGCAGAGCTACCTCATGCCGATTGGGCTCCCAGATGGGAGAACGGTTTTCATCCCGAGGGGAGTTCTGCAACAGATGCTTGGGCCGACACAGGTGATGTAAGCACCCGGCGTACACCGTCAGTACAGCATGGGCTCTGGACTCAGCTCTCATGTTTCCATAATTACTTTGCTTGTTTTCCCTCCAGCTCCAGAGCCCGGGAACGGTTGATGCCAGTAGAGGGTTGTTCTTTTGGCCTGCGAGCTGAGTTTTTCTCTGCCGAATGGCCCGTCTGCATGTTGAATTTAGGCATGTACGCATGAGAATTTACTGCATGCTGCTAGTGCAAGAATTTAGGAATTCCAGAATTGCGGAATTGAGAATTCAGTAATGAACCCTCTACTCACTAGACAAACGCGCGCATGAAAACATGCAGGACGTGCTGGACAGGCGAACACGTAGATAAGCCAAGCTAAACCCGCCCCCCCCTCCCAATCTTTCCGTTCCCTAAGTCAGTCAGCCGAGCGCTTTTGTGCAATGAGTCCCAAGCCCTACCCCTTACACCGAGACCTGCCTTGAAGCTGCCTGTTGTTCCCTAACCAGCCCAGCGTCCTGTTGTGTTGGAGTCGACTCTGGAGTAGTAAACCGACTGTTGGCCCGACCCCCGCCCCAGATCCTAGACAAACGTGGCACCGCAGCCCTGGACAGGCCACACGCCAACCATGGCGTTTCCTCGCTTCGCGATGACGCGATACCGGGCCCCCCTGACCCATCGCTCCCCACGGGGGCGAGTCAGCTACGGGGTTATCTCACTACCTTCAATTTTTGCATCCATAGTCTGGTCCCCTCTCGTTCGTGCTGTTCGGGTTCCTAGGACGCACTCTCCCCACTAGGGTTCTAGAAACCACTAACCCTCGAACCTGCTGCAATGGCTGTCACCGCGGTGCGCCTGACCTGTGCGTGCTGACAATCTGCCTGGGATTCTGTATTGGGCCTTACCTTTTTGATGGGCCACCCCATATCGGGCTGCTGCCGGTGGTATTCTGCTGCTACAGCCTTTACAGTGGGCACATCATGGGCCACCCCAACCTGGGCTGCTGCCGTACTTGCCACTGCAAGGCATCATGGAATTCACAAATTGGTTTCGGGCTGTTTCTGTATATGATGCGGCGATATAGCTTGAGCCATGGAATCACGAATTGGTTTTGGTTTGCAATTCTGCATGGTGCTGCAAGTGATCTCGGAATTCACGAATTGGTTGCTGTCGGGCTGCTGCCGGTGGTATTCTGCTGCTACAGCCTTTACAGTGGGCATGTCATGGGCCACCCCAACCTGGGCTGCTGCCGTACATGCCACTGCATGAGATCATGGAATTCACAAATTGGACTTGGGCTGTTTCTGTATATGATGCTGCGAGAGAGCTTGGGCCATGGAATTCACGAATTGGTTTTGGTTTGTCATTCTGCATGGTGCTGCAAGTGATCTCGGAATTTACGAATTGGTTGCTGGTTACATTCCCTGGGTCGCAAGCATTCTGAGCTGTAGTGTATGCTCTGTCGAACTGTGTGCAGGCCTGCCCGCGACACCTACAACACGCCTGTAGGTTCGTATTCTCTGGCTCTCGGAGTGATGGGCTAGCGGATGTCGCTGCATCCCGTGTTGCCAATGACGCTTCGCGGTGGTACATGTGGGTGTCTTGATGGGGCATTTGCCTTGTTTGCTGCAGCAGGCCAGAACGTATACTGCATGAGGATGTTTGTTGGCCATTGTGGAGTGTGGGCTTTTGACCCGCCGATCTGAGCCTTGTAGACCAGCCTGTGGATGTAGCTTTGTTGCGAGCCGTGGTGACTTCAAGGAGTAGAGTTGTGTTGCGCCTGAGTGTTAATGTCGACCCCGACTAATATGTTGGGAGGAGCCAATGTGCTTTCGCTGGTACTGGAATCCTCGCTGTGGTTCGTCCGAGAGTGAGTGCTGAAACCCATCAAGCCCTCCAGGGCTCTCGACGTGGCTCCAAGGGCCGCGAAGGACCGGGTGAGGCTGCGCCGTCGACGGTGAAGGCACGGACGGTGGGTTTCTGCTGAACGGTCCTTACCGCTTCTGACTTTCGGGCTTTAACTTTTCGAGCTTCGTGCTTCAACCTGAGCCCCACAAGCCAAAAACCCAAACCTCTTGATCCCAAGTCTCAGTTGCTGAACCCCTGATCCTCTAACCTCTAAGTTGAGAACGTCGACCCGTAATTCCTCAGTCTCTAAACCGCTTGTCGAGTCTTGAATCCCTAAACCGTGATTCGCTGATGGCCTTAGTTCAAAAAAACTGAGCTCTATTGCAATGTGAGGGTCCCTGCATTTAAACCGCAGGCTCTGAATCCTAACCCAAAGCCCGATATCAGCCCCCTACTAGAGGGGCCTAGATAGTTTCCAATCATCTTGTGGGGGTTCCTTATTATAGCCCTATTCTAATGATCAAGGTCCCTAAACTAAGCCCTAACAGTAGCCCTTTTCGTAGTCCTTGTAGTAGCCTTTATAGACCCCTTTTGAAAAGGAGCCCTATTCTGATTATTAACGCCCCTAGATTGAATCCTTGTAGTAGCCCTTATAGACCCGGTTAAACGAACCCTACTCTAATTGTTAAGGCCCCTACATAGATCCCCTTAGAACCCTTAAAGGAACGCTTATATAGAGCCTCAACAGGAACCCTATTCTAACTGTTCAGGCCCCTACATTGCTGTATCTCAACCCTAAACCCTAAATCCTAAACCCTAAACCCTAAACCCATTACTCGCTGTGAAACTCACGGCTTTGTTCAGCAGTTCAACCAAGACACCCTGCAATGCGGGCTTCGTCCTTGCTAGGTAGGAGGAAAAAAAACCCTAAACCCTTCTCAACCCGCAGGTCTTGAATCTCGCTGATTTGCGTGGCAGAGAGCTCCCTGCCAAGCTAGAGGACCTCCAGAAGGCCCGACTCGCCAGGGTGTAGGGTCTTATAAACTGCCTATACTACAATTAGAAGGGTCCTTTAAAGGCATCTTTAAAGGGGTCTATAAGGGATTTATCATAACCGGGTTCTGTATGGGGGCCTTAATAGTTAGAAATATACTTCTTCGGGGTGTCCTTATTATAATGACAGTATACTGGGCCCCAAAACCATGTTCCAATTGTTAAGGCCCCCATAATATTAGGGCTGAATGTTTCCGGGGATTGCTATAACGGGCTTCTTAAGAGTTGGGGTTAGGGATATCATGTGTCAGGGTTTTAGGTTTGAAAGTTTAAGAGTCGCGGGGAAAGGGTCCTACGGCATCGGGATGCCAGGTTTCCGGCTTTAGGGTTCAGGCTGTACTGTACTTAAAGGGACATGGGACTTAGTAACTAGGGCTATAATTAGGGTAACTACACTTATAATTACTTATAACCCCAGTTAGGGTACTTATAACCCTACTTACTAAGTCCCATGATCCTCCCAGTAGGGGATTCAAGCCCTAAGCCCATATCCCCAAACCGTGGGGAATGTTAGCGGAGATTCTGTAAGACATCCATGAATCGAAGGTTCCGAGATCCAACCTGGAATTAGGGTCTTGAGTTTAGGGTGCAGGGTTTCTTATGTTGTGAGGACCCCACTATTCAGGTTCAGGGTATCTGTATATGGGAGAACTGTAGATTGATTGACTTCCAGTGTTTGGTTCTACACAGACCGGAAACCTGGATTCCTAGACTCAGCTGAGGTTTGGGCTTCCGTTTTTCTTATTCGGACTTTCGGGCGTAGTTTCTGCACCTTGAAGCCCTCAAGCTCGAAACCACAGCCGCGCTGGCTTTTTGACACAAGGTTCCTATGGATCCGGCGCTTGCCCGAACATCCGTGAAGAACGGGGCTCCGGCTGCGAACGGCTCTAGCAGCTACTTGGACAGAGGGTTTTATCAAAAACATCGTCTCATGTCTCTCGACCTGCCTTCCTTGCCTTCGGTTAGTAGCGCATGGAGGCATGGGGTACAATTATAACTACTCTCTCTCTCTCTCTCTCTCTCTCTCTCTCTCTCACACGGACTCATTACTACCATTCTTTCCTAAACCCCAAACCCTAGTTCTACCATTCTTCCATTTCCCTACTAACCAAAGGTAAGCTTCAGCCCCCTTTGAGAGCTCTCATGTTTGGTGCCTGTCGCGGGTACATCCTCCAACGTTCGAAACTCTTTTGCTTATAGTGGCCTTAGCGTGAGCCTGAAGCTCCAACGTTAACCCTTAAACAGTAGATCTCAATCCTAAGTCGCAGACATGCCCACGCCGACGAAATGGCCGCATTGTTTCTTTCGGGCAGTACAGTCTTGCCACTGGCCTAGCATGCGATACTCGTTTCATGTTCCGATGCCAATCACAGTTCAGACCTGTGAAATTTCCCTGTCTTGAAGAGCCGTGTTGACATGTCCTCATGCGAGCGTAGTTTTTGTGTTAGTTCTGAACGCACCCTGTACGACAGACGTCTTGGGCTCAGACCAAAAAGTGTGCTCGTTTGTGTGGTTGGACACTCACTAATCCAGTTCCTGCTTCAAACTGGTAGCGGAGCTGTGAGGACAACCACTAGTGTTTCACCCCCGTTGAGCCTGTGGTCCGGGGTCCGTTGGGTAGTGTAGTGATAGTCGCGGCGCAAAGGCCCCTTCTATCCTCGAAGCCATGAGCGTGGCAGGTTTGCGTTACCAGCCCAATCTCTGGTCACAGAACCTGAGCCCTGCAGAAACCAAAAGCGGGTCGTACATATACGACGGTACGGCTGCTGGCTTCCATGATTGGTGCTTCCGGACACAGATCCGTGTGCTGCAGCATAAGGAGAAGCAGCGGCGCGAAGCTCTTAAGGACCTGCGTTTTGCCGAGTCGGCAAGGGCCAAGAGCGAGTCACCAAGGAAGTGGCGTGGCAGGGCAAGTCAGGGGACCAGCGCATCGCCCACAGATGGTGATGGAAGCAGCGGTATACCCGCCAGTCCGTCCAGCGCAAAAAGGACTAAGCCCGCGTCCGAGGCAGAAGATGAGGATGCGGAGTCGCTACCGTCGCACCCCAGCCAAGTGGCGGGCGACGATGAGCAAGAGCCGGACACAGATCCGGCGGTGTACACCTTGCAAGACGTCAAGGACGAGTCG